GTACTATATTTCTCTCTCTGCTCAGAAATTTTATACTATTAATAAAAGCCTGTGTGGTCATCACGCCATAATGAGCGATCACCATGAGGCTGCATGTTCAGCGGGCGTGTATGGATGGGGGATTGATGCTGTGTGTGTGGCGCAGAGGTGGGGCCCACGGTGAGGCTGTGGGCCCCATGGCTCCGTGAGGTGTGGACGCAGGACCCCTGGGTCCGGTCTACCTCTTTGGGGCAATCCATTGAGGAGCCCCGGATGGGTAGGTGGGGCCTACTTCTTTGGGGTGATCAATCACCAGGGCTCGTGCACTGTGACAGGGCACAGGCCAGGCTGGGGGACCCTCCCAAATAGAGGTATTTAAACCCTCAAATTTCATATGCTTGGGACTTTATTTTACCAGATTTCCTCAAAACAAGTATAATCCAACATAAATTATTATCCTACATAATAAAGAGCTAATATGCAAATGGTTGCCATGCCCTCACACCATCATGCCCTCATGCCCTCACAATCCATCACCAGGAGGTTGCATGCACAGCAGGCACACATGGGTGGCCGGGGACTTGATGCTGCGTGTGTGGCACAGAGGAGGCGGTAACTGGCGGCTCTGCACAGCAGGCTGCACGGCACGGAGGCAGGACCCCCGGCTCCAGCCTACCTCTTTGGGGCAATCCATCAGGAGCCCCGGGTGGGTGGGCGGGGCCTACCTCTTTGGGGCAATGTATCATGGGGTCTCACACTGTGAGAGGGCACAGGACAGGCTGGGGGACCCAACCCCACGAATGCACAAATTTTGTGCACCGGGACTCTAGTAATAATATAATTTTCTCTTACTTTTAAAGGAGATAGGTTTATTTCAGGGATCGTTTCATGAACTAATGAGATGTAATATCATTTATATGGATGAAACTAAAAGCTAAATTAAATGTCTGCATTTGGTATGCCACAAGAACTCGACACCAGAACCACACATTGTACATGTGCCTTTCAGTTTGCAACATCAAACCTGGCTACAAAGAGACAGGACTGGCCATCATCTAGATCAGCCTGTTCTTGGGTAAGAGGAAGAGTTCAAGTACACACAACATTTTTTGACAAACTACATTTTGAAATTTACACCAGATACTGGGCTTCATGAACACCACCACAGTGATACCCAAAATGCAATTATATGTGGAAAGCAATAAAATCTGTCCTAAGAGGACATCCTGAATCACAACATTATACCACCATAGTCAGATGATCTTTTTCCCAGAAAATTCTAGTGCCTTCTCATGCCTACTACATTTGTCTATGGCTGTAATTTATTCAATTGAAGCAGCACCAGCTTTTCCAGGCCAGAGATTAGTGGTTAGGAAGCTGTTCTTCCAATTCTAGAAATAGGGCTTTATCAAGCTCTTATTCACTCAAAACTTCCCCTCTATACACCTGGAGAATATATGATTAGACACATCTTCTCTGCTTCTATCCTCTTGGCTCCAAGTTCATCCTGTCTTTCTCCTTTCCTTGGCTACAAAACTCATCAAGGTGGTGGTGAACCCCCAATGTTTCTAATCCCTCAGAACCTGGCCCATTCCCCACCAGTGGTAACTGGGTTTCCATGACCCTCCACTGGGTGGTCATCAGTCTAAATATGTCAGCCTAGATCGGCAACGTCAGCATTAATATAGAGCCTCACCTCAGAAACTCTGGGAGTGGGCTCAGCCATCTGAAAAAAAAAAAAATCCCTGCAGATAATCCTGACACATGCTAAAATTTCTAAACCACCACTCCATGGAGACTGCTAGCATGGCAGTTACCATAGTAACCAAAAAACCGATTCTCAGCTCTTACCCTTCATCAGTAGCTGACGGACAGCCCTTCTTACTGGAACTCATTTCTGGTGCCTTTGGCACTGCCTTCCCTTTGTTCTCCTCCTACATCTCAAATTGTTCCATTTCATCTTCTTCCCATTTCTTCCTGTCTCCTTCCTGCAGATTTCTCAGGAGTGGCCAATGGCCCTCTTCTCTCCTCTTTCTACATCTTGCCCTGGGAAATTCCATCCATGCCTTTGACCCCCAAATAGCTATTTTTGGCATGCACAGCAATCCGTTTTCCCATGTGACCAAGGCCCCTCTAGTATTCCTTGTCACTGTTGGAGCACACAAGGCAACAGATCAGACAAACACTTCCATGACAGCATGCTACTGACCTGCTCATGAACTTGTACCGGCGGGGCAGGTAATAGATTTTTCTCCTGGAAGAACAGCAAAAATGAAGCCAGTCGAGAAGAAAACCCATCGTCAGTTACAGTTTGAACTAGCAAGGAAGGAAAGGAGATTGAAGACAGAAGCCTGTAAGAGGTGAAGAAGAAAAAACTAAAAAGAGATTAACAGTGAGGAATGTAGTGAGAACATAGGGCATGCGTTTTTTGAGTCATGAAATCTTAGGGAACATTTTCCATAGATATTTCTTTCTCTCCTCATGACCATGACTTTTCGCGGTTGCCACTGGTCTACCAAATCTGTACAGGGTGGTGATTTGGAGCAACTGGTATTTGCATGAATTCAGCTGTCATCACCTTTTTTCTCAGGGATGCAGAGATGGACAGCCAGCCTGTTGGCAATGTCCATAACTTAATGGGGCACCATTATAGAAACTAATATTTACATAGCACTTTGAGTTTATAAGTCCCTTCTGTCATTTGATATAAGCAGGGGTAAAATAAAAATATAGGCATCTTACAACCATTATGAGAAGGACACTAACTAGCCGGGATCAACATCCAGCTGGAACTAGACACATAAGGACTTACTGACTAACCAGTGGTCCTGTTTATAGGTGAATTAAAGATGTAAACTAAGGAATCCAGGAAAATATTTTTTAAAACGGAACTTAATAAGAGCATGTCATATTTCTATGTTTCTGCACTGTTTACATTTTAAAATGAAAATTCTGGGTGTAGTTGGAATGAAGAGCACATGTGTTGGCTACTTTATTAAAATGCAATCTCTTTTTCCTTATGGTGGCTTCAACCAATGGACTAGTTATGAACCCAAGGTAGTTTATATGTATTCTGAACTGTTACTGAGCTATCTCACTTTTGAAAAATGGAAAGCTTATATCTCTAAAATCATTTTTTTTATCTGTGAAAACTTAAAAATAATATCCATGTTGTTAACAGGCAAAACTATAGAGACAATATACAGGTAAGTGGTTGCCTGGGTTTTGGGTTGGGGTGGGGAATGGAGGGAAGGGATGACAGGTGAAGGAGCCTAAGGCAGTGAAATTATTCTGTAAGATACCCTATTGGTAGATGCAGGATGTATGCATTTGTCAAAACCCACAGAACTGTGCAACAGAAAGAGTGAACCCTAAATTAATTCTATGGACTTTAGTTAATAATGATGTATTAATACTGGTCCATCAATTATAAGAAATATACCACACTAATGTAATAAATTAATAAGGAGACTGAGTGGGGTGAGAAGGGGTGAGCATATGGGAATATTTTGTACTATCTACTCAATTTTCTGTAACCTACAAATGCTCTCAAATAGCCTATTAAAAAACACCATATTCATGGACATAAAGGTACTTAATAAGCAGGTTTTATTAGCAATTTCCCACCAGAAACCTATTTCTCAATTTCCTTTCAAACACTATAGGAATAAAAATTCAAGGAGACTAAACCTGGCATTCAGAATTGCAGTCTACAGAAAATAATAAATACAGATAAGATTAGTTAGGGCATTTTATATTCAAGCAAACTGATGTTTGTACATTTTGTTGAAATGATATGTCAGGATAGTTCCTCTTTTGGAAATGCATATACATCCCTAGGTTAGAGTTATTATGAAATGTCGCACAAGATGACAGCAAAAATTCTCAACCCCTCAAGTGAAGCTGTGCTAAGTTAAAACTGCCTTAATATTAATGAGGCTGATTAATGTCCACACATGAATAGCATTTTCTCCTAAAATTGTTGTCCTAAAGGAATTCCTACATTTAAAAAGAAAATTATTATTCATTATTTATGTTTTTCATTTTATTGCTTGGATCATATTCTCTTACTGTCACAGCAGAAACGTATTAATGGCCCAGCCGGTGCGGCTTAGTGGTTGAGCGTTGACTAATGAACCAGGAGATCACTGGTCGATTCCTGGTCAGGTCACATGCCTGGGGGTGGGGGTCGGGGGTGGGCTCAATCCCCAGTAGGGGGCGTGCAGGAGGTAGCCAATCAATGATTCTCTCCCATCATGGATGTTTCTATCTCCTCTCCTTCTCTTTTCCTCTCTGAAATCAATAAAAAAATATATTTTTAAAAAGGAAACGTATTAACGCTGCTCACAGGCAGCACTTTTCCACTAGGTAGCGAGCAGGAGTGTTTTCTATGATGTGGCCAGTCCTTCAGGTAGGAAGTCCTTCCAAGCACTAAGGAACTTGCTCTACGTTAGCAATGCTCAAGTTTCCACAATCTGCTCGGACTCTTGGCTCCAGACTTCTGCTCTGGCAGAAGGTTTTGTGATTTCTGTTGGGAAGGGGAGTATCAATTTCACTAAGTTTCACTATTTTGCTTTTACCAAAAGGTAGACTTTTAGCTTTGTTGGCTAGAAGATGTTGATCTGATATACCACCCTATCAAAGCATATATTATAGTGGTCCTCGTGTGTAATATGGTATTAATCCATATTAGATGGTTATAGCATTGATACATAATTAGCTTTAATGAATTATAATTAGAGTGTAACAATTTTCAATGGAAACTAAATTAATAATCCTTCTCTTAGTGATAATATATCTTTTTAAAATCCTTGGGCTCTTAGGTTTCCTTTTCAACATTTTAAATGCAAAAGTTAATCCAAAGATTAGAACTAGGTATCTCAACTCCTTTGAGAATTCTGCCTCAAAGCAAATAGGTGCTAGAAATCCCAGCCTCTATTTTGACTTAATATTCTAACATAAAGGCCAACAAATGAAGAATATAATATACACCAGGGAGATATGTTACAGGACTCTAAATGGAAATTACTCTTCTCTAAATGTGTCCCTAGCTACTCCCTGTCTCTATGAATGCAGCTGAAAACTTTGCCTCTATTACTTTCTATAGCTCATGAAGAGGTTTAGTTTAGAATTTGGACCAATGTGTCTAGTTCCTACTGTATGACTTGGTCTTATTGGCAAATTGCAAACCAAAAGTATGCATCAGTTTTGTCCCTTTGGAACTGTCCTTGGTACTAAAACCCTCCACATTCTTTAGAAGATTCCACTATGGAACTTCCCACATATCTTGGCATTTATACTTTCAAGTGTAGTACTTTATTTTATTTCTATCTAAAAAATGAAAATCACTTTTCCTTAACCTATAGGGAAAATAAGAATCTTCACTGTGAGGTGAAGGTAAGTTGATCCTTTTAAATAAGCAATCCGCACAAAGTATTTCCTATTCCTCTGAGAATAAATAATGCCCAGCTGGTATGACTCTGTTTGAGCAACAACCTATGAATAGGAGGTCATGGTTAGATTCCTGGTCAGGGCACATGCCTGGGTTGCAGGCTCGATCTCCAGTGGGGGGGCATGCAGGAGGCAGCCGATCAATAAGTCTCTCATCATTGATGTTTCTATCTCTCTCTCCCTCTCCCTTCCTCTCTGAAATCAATAAAAAAATATATTTTTAAAATGAATATAGCAATGATTGTGTTGGCACAATATTTATGAACTGACTTCTAAAAATTTAAATATCAGTTATTTTTAAAATGGAGCACATTTTCATAACATTTCTTGAACTTGTTTCTATAGAACTCATTTCATGTTTTTTCTGGAAGGGACTCATCACTAAGGACCATGAAGATCACCTGGCACCTTGGATGCCTGGAATTTTGCTCAGCAAAGCAGCAGTACAAAGGGCTTCCAAAAATGGCACTGTGGGAATAAAAATGCCCCTTGGAAAACTCTTTTTCACAGACACTTGAAGTAGCTAACTGCTAAAGAATGAATCAGCCATGAATTATTGGCCGTGAGACCTACTGCACTTCCCAAACATTTGAGGGGTTTTCTTCTCTTGCAGCATTCCAGCCTGCTCATCAGCTTTATTTGTTCCGAAAGAGGCGTGCACTAGGTTTATAGCAAAGCAGCAGAGAGAGTGGGGAAATACAGTGACACCTACCTGAAAGGCATTCTTACATTCATTTGTTCTGCGTATCTGCCAAGCACTTCCCACGGGGCATGCAACTTCACAAAGATAATGTCACTATTTATTAGCGAGGACTGAAACAGAAAAAAAGAAACTCAACTGAAAAGGTTACCCAAGTCTCCTGTGGTTTAAATCGAGTTGGAACTTAGAACGCATGAACTTGTATGGAGTTTAAGTTCAGGGCTTTCTTCAGTCATACGTTGGGCCATTGCATGTGCACATATTCATCACTGACCTATGAATCAGGAGGTCAAGGTTGGTTCCTGATCAGGGCACATGCCCTGGTTGTGGGCTCTATCTCTAATATGGGGCATGTGGCAGGCAGCCAATCAATGATTCCCTCTCATCACTGATGTTTCTCTCTCTCTATCTCTCCCTTCCTCTCTGAAATTAATTTTAAAATATTTTTTAAAAGAAGAGCATGGGATGAGTGAGTGCTCCAGGTGCAGAGGCCCTCATCTAGGAAATGGCTTGGCATGGCCTATGTCTGAGGCACAGAAAGGAGAGTAAAGAGGCTGGAGTGTGTGAATCATGAAATTGGCATGAGAAGAGGTTGAAAGGGGAGCAGGGGCCAGAGCATGCGGTGGAATCGAATCTAGGTGGAATCCAGGAAGTCCTTTGGATTTAGGTTTTCAAAAAAAAAAAAAAAAAAAAAGATCACTCTGGCTGCTTTGTGGAGAATCAATTCAAAGGGAGAGTTCCAGGGAAGCAGAGAGACAGAGAGATGCTGTTGATGGGCCAGGCCAAAGAACGATGTTGGAGGTGGAGATGAAGGGACCTAAGAGACATGAGACTTACATGTGAGTCGGTGTCAGGCAAAGCATTTTCAAAGGACCCCAAATTTAGACAGGGAAATAAACTAGGACGCCCCTCTCTGATAACCACCAGACATGCATGTGTGTCTGTGTGTGTATAGGGCTTATTATTTGTATTCAGTTTTTCAAGGAGTAACTGAACTTCAGCCCAGAAAAACTAAATGTGACACAGGTAATTGCTAATTAGTATTTGGCTTATCTATCATTCTTTTCCCTATTGCTGAATAATTATGCTACTGTCTCTTAATAGGTTTTTCCTCATTAGTAAGGATTCCTTTCCACATAATTCCAAAGTGAAGAGAAGTGAGAATGATTTTTCTGAAACCTAGAGTCATTTCATTAACATACTGCAAGAAAAAACCCTCAGGTTAGAACCCCAGGGAGAAGAAAAATGAACACTGAGAGAAGTTTGGAAACTGTTCTTAGACGAATAACTAGAGAAATTAAGTATCATGGAAACTACCTGGAGTAGAAATAAATACGATCCACAGAAAACATTCCTTCCCCCACCTCTTCATTCAGCAAGAACACATTGAACACCTTCTACATATCGAATGTTAGGAATGCAAAGGTAAGGTACTTGCCTTGGTTTGTCAAAATTTAGTAAGGGAAGGTTAGATAAAGCAATTGTTAGAAAAAAAAAATAGCATGCTATTGTCTAATCCAAGCAATCCATTGCCCATCTCTACACCCTAGGACCCTGCTGAGAAAGGAACACTGAGGGAAAACCCGATTCAGGAGTGGGGTCTTGAAGGTAGATCATAAATTCAGTTTTGGAAGTGTTCACTTCAAGATACCCATGAGAAGATGTCTCGTGGGTAGTTAGATAAATGAGTCTGGAGCTCAGGAGTGCAGGCTGGGCCAGAGATACAATGTAAGTGTGGCCGGGCTATAGACAACACTAAAGTCCCCAGGACTGGAGGAGGTCACTGGGAGAGTGTAGGGCCAGAACCACAGAGGGAGCTGAATCACAGGGGTTCATTGGAAATGCAGATTCTGAGGATGGATTGCACATATTCATATTTGTATTCATATTCTTGTCTTCCTCTTACTGTCTTTGTGACTTGGACAAGCTATTGAACCTCTCTATGCCTCAGTTTGTTCAACTGTAAAATGGGAAATGATAGTAATATCTATTTACTGAATTGCATTAAATTACCCAATACAGGTAAGATGCACACAGTACACTAAAGACACGTTAGTTATTATTATTTCCAAGAAGGGCCACACCATATTGGTGGTGGTGGGAAGAACACAGCACTTATCCAAGTAACAACCTGGGAAGCAACACATTAGGAACCAATATCTGGGGAGGACTTTCCAGTCTTTGACTACAAGGCTAAACCAAAAGAAACCCTGAGAGCCAAGTCCCCAAATCATGCCCCCTGTCCCTCCACAGCACCCAGCATCCACTACAAGTTCCTCTAAGGACATTCATTTACTCATCAACATTCAACAGACTCCATCCTGACCCTCATGGAGTTCAAGGTCTGCTGGGGACACAGACCCTCAATCTACACCCCCCTCTGTGCTTAGAAGAAGAATAAAGAAGGACAACAAAATAGAAAGTAGTGGTGAGAAGGAGATACTATTTTAGATAGAGTAGTGTGGACAGGCCTTTTGATCAGGCAACATTTGAGCTGGAACCTGAAAACAGTGCAGACAAAGGCTGTTCCATTATCTGAGAAGAGGGCATTCCAGGCCAGGAGAAGAGTGCAAGGCAAAGCGCCAGAGGCCTCTATGTGCTTGCCTTGCTGGTTCCACTTAACAGCTTGAAGGGTCAAATCAGGTTGGCCACCTGCAACTGTTCTGCATCCCTTTAGGCAGCCACCTGGATACCATGTTCCCATAACCATGCTGTTTGTAAAATGCAGCAAACCCCTAAAGTGCTGGGGCAAAAAGGAGATATTAATTTCTCCTTTTTTTGCCCCAAAATAACTCAGGTAAGCCTCTTGGAGAAAAAAATAATAGAGGTGGACACCTACTACATGCTGGTCGTGTTTGGGGCTTTTGTACACATTAAATAAGCTAATCTTCAGGCCAGCCTATGAGGCAGGCATCATTGTTGCTCTGATTTATTGCAGAAGAGGAATTAAAGCACAGAGGTCGGGGACCATGACTAAGGTCACACCATGAGTAAGGAGGGAGCCAGATTCTCACCAAGGCAGCTGGGCTTGAGAACTGCTGATCCACAACAGGAAAGCTGAGGCCAACGTGAACTCAATTCCACTGTCATTTTGTGTGGGGTTTTTTTTTTAATGCTTAGTTACACTTTTAGTCCCAAGTACAGTGCATGCAGTTCCCTCTGCATCCTAATATGAATGTATGTCCTGTGGTAAACATCAACTTGAAGCCTGGCTCTGCCACTCACTACCTGTGTGTCTCTGGGCATGTCACTTAATTTGTGAGTCTCAGTTCCCTCATTTGTAAAGTGAGGATAACAATGCCCACCTTTCAGGGTTGTTCTAAAGCTGACATAGTCGTACTGTGGGTGGTTTAACAAGTAAGAACTTCCTTCTTTCTCCCATAGTTACTGAATGCTCAATGGATATTCTGCTAACCCACAGATGATGCTAGAATTTCCTGATGGATCTAGAACCCAGCCTCTGAAACTGATGGGGAAATGTGCATTTCTGGAGGGTGATAGGACCTGACGTAATCGCTAAGAATTTCAACTCCTCTCTGAGGGGCTGCCACCTAACCAGCTGGGTGTCCCTGGGTAAATGACTTGTACTTTCTGGCACTTCAGTTTTCTCTGGAAAATGAGGGCATATGTCTCTAAAATAACTTTTGCATTTTTAAATTCTTGATTTCCTTAGGGACCCACCAGAATTTGTGAATGTAGTTCAGAAAAATTCTTCAGCTGATTTTGATACAATTCTCTCTCCACAAAACACACACACACACAAAGTCATATATACTGACTGTGCCCCTGTGACAGAAGCCTGGGAGGTACTGTGTATTACTAAATGGCCACAATGTTCATTCCATAAAGAGGACATTAGCATTAGCAACAGGAAATAGGTGTGTGAAATAGCCACTTACTACTCAACTACCGTATAGTAGATCTTTAAGTGGGGATTACTCAAGGACTGTATACAGGTCCTGTTCTCCCTGGGTGATCTCACCCCTTCCCAATGACTTCAGACATCAGCTATTGTTTGATGTCTCCCAGATTCACTTCTCTGGCCCAGGCCTTTCTCCCAAGTTCCAGACGGGCACAGCCAATGGCCAACATGATATCTTGCCTCAGCTGTCTCATTGGTGTGTCAGACTCAGTGTGTTTAAAAGGAATCTACTTTTCTCGCAAAACTGCTCCTCAGTGACCGCAGGTTTGGGAAATGGCACAACCATCCATCCAGTTACTCAAGTCCAGGAGTCTCCTTTGATTCCTTTCTTTCTTTTTTTTATTTTTTATTGATTTTTTACAGAGAAGAAGGGAGAGAGATAGAGAGTTAGAAACATCGATGAGAGAGAAACATCGATCAGCTGCCTCTTGCACATCT